ATAAAACTCTTAAATTCATCTAGAGACTTATTGTATAGAACAAACATCAATGAATTAGATTACATAAGAAAATTGAATTTAAATGCACTGATGTAGAAAAAATATTTTCAAAATCTTTGGTATCGAAGTTCTTCTTTAGAGTCATCTTTCCTGGTGCTCGGGACTCATAAACTTTGGCAAGTCTCCGCATACGTCACCATACTATAGTTACTCATTATTGGCAAATGAACCGGACAAATGTAAAAGAGGAAAACTAGTCTAAACGAACACTATTTTATCAATATGATACTGCTACATTATAAAAACACAATGGGATAATGTACCTGTATTATTGAAACGCACAAATTAGTGTGCAAAAATATCAATTTTCACATAACAGACTCTGTTGACGACATGGCAATGGATTGGTTAACTATACTGGTCTGAAAGTATAAATAACATAAAAGTTTCTCGTCATACCGTCACCCGTTGTTTACGAATTATTATGTACATGTGACATAAACCCAGACGTCTGTTGTTCTTTTATTACAAAAAAAAAAAACCGGACAGCTTTTTTTTATCGGTCGATCCGTAATCATGTCATGTGTTCATTGTTTATGATTAGGTTGTCGCTCTCAATATGCTGCATATTTTTCCCTTAACAGAACCTTTATCTGTAAAGCGTTTACACAATACAGGCGGTGGCAGGCAAATCGTCATTGCACAAACTACATAAAACCGGAAGTAAAAGTATTTTTTCTTTTTATACGTAACAACTCACTTGGTGTGGAGGATCCTTAATTGCGGCCATGTCACCTGGAGGAACATAATAGGTTAAACAATATGTCGCAGTGATTTCTATTATGATATCATAATAAAGGCTGTAGCTTAATTAAATGGAAGCAATTAATTAGTGGGATGGCCAAGCTTCTTTTTCAGCTTCAAAAGAAATAGAAAATAAAACCTAAAACCCATAAATAGTTAAGGCAATCCTGTTTGAACTTGCAGACACATTTTTAAAAAGCACATTTGGAAAACTGAATGACCCAAGAATAAGCACAAATAATAAAATTCACGTATTTATACTTTTTAAGGCACATGATTAACAACATGAAACAATTTACCCTAATCCCTGGTTTCCAGTATTTTGAAATGGGAATAGAATCACACAAATCCTTGACAATTAAATTGGAGGTAGAAATGCGTCTAGAACAGTTGGTATTGAATTCTGGGTAAAGTTGTTGAAATTTGGCTAGTTCTGTGACAGTGCGAATTTTAGAACATTCAGTTGATTGACCTATTCCAAGACACAAAATTGTTTGTATTATTTACGCAATCTTCTTCATTCTAAACGATGGAAAATCATAAAAAGTGGAAGAATAAGTCCTTCATGCTTATTAAACATTAACATCTGGACTATTTATGAACCCACCTAAGGTTGAGGAGACTGTTGGTGTTGAAGAACTGTATTTACTAGTAGTCGTAGATTGACCATTTGTTGTTTCTATTGATGTGATAGTTGTTGTTGGTTTACTGGTGGTTGAAGTTGCAGTTGGTGCTGTTGAAGTAATTGTTGTTGGCTGTATGACAGCCTCCGGGTATAGGGATTGATTTTCATTCTACTGCCCATGGAATGTAAACAGGAAAGATTTCCCGATATAAGTGCACCATCAATTTTATTATGTTATAAATAATGTGTGAAAGTATCATTAGATTTTATTTAGTGAAACTGGAGATTGTTTTCATTTTTACCTATGACAGCCTCCGGGAGGGATTCATGGAATTAAACAGGAAAGATTTAGCACCATCTATCGGTGGAATTGTTTTCATTACCTTGAGAATTCTATTTTTAGAGCGACTCTGAGTAACACCGACCGCAAGGATAGGCATAGTCTAAAACAAAGATCGCGTCACATACAAGTATAAACAAACAGTTCTACTTTTTCTAAATAAACAGGATTTGTCTAATATTTTTAAAATGACATGTATATAAATACATTTCCTACGGAATATGTAAAAAAGAATGTGATTTACAGTTAATTTTTTATCAAACAGAATATTAGGAGATTTTGTCCCAACAGACGATGATAAAGCGCGTTTTACAATATGCCGAGCCTTTTCCCACCGATTCTCACACCAAAACAAGAACGAGAAGAAATGAAGTGGCGGATCTAGAGGGAGTTTGGGGGGGGGGGGGGGTTAACATCCGCGGAGAGTGATCGAGGAACCCCACTTATCAATTGCTTCTTTTATTAAAGTAAAAACTATCTCTAGTTATAGATAAGTTTAAACTTTAGTTTTATATTTAATTGTAAAAACTTCCACCAGAATTCGCCTGTATCAAACTAAGTGTGGAGACGCAGATGTACCTGTATTATGTATTGAAGAAAATCCTGCAATGCCGCATGCAAATGTTTTATGTCGCAGGTATAAATATAAGATATTTTAATAATAGATCAAGCATTTCAGTTTTAATGGAATTTTTTGTGCTTGATTGCTGTTTGTAATCTCATTTTCACTCCTTTTCTAATTTCTTCTTGAAAGGGCCGATAAATTGGTTTGCGGCCGATTTTTGACGCTTGCATCAATAGGTTTCATGGAGTTTTTTAATCTGACAAGGATCGATGAATAAACAAATGCATAGTATTTTTATCTGTAGGAATATTAACAGTCTAGTTTTGAATTCTTTATTTGTAATTATGTATAATTTTAGGAAACACATGAAAATAGATTTACACTTTCTACAAGCGGTTTGAGTGTTTGGGGTACCCTCACATTAGATAAGAGAGAAACAAACGGCAACTCTGATATTGAGATCAAAATGCATTTGTAACTTTTGACCCTTGGGTACAACCCAAATCTTGGTTCATAGGATTTACATGATTTATCACATTATATCCTAATTAATAATTAAAAATTATATCTTCTGAAATAAGTTGTCTTATTGTCATATCGTTGATCCTTATTTGCATTTGATACTTGTGTTTTACCTCTTTCACATCTCAAACTTTAATTTTTTTTTTATATACAAGATTACATGTATTTCTGATCATTGGTATTCATGTCAACTTTTTTTAACCTACATCATTGGAGAAGTGATTGTTTGAACAGAGTTACTGAAAAGCAGAAATCATAGTTATATATTTATTACTTTTCTCTACGTAATTTGTAATCATGTCTCATTGTTAATGATTGTTTTAAACAGATAAACTGAAAAGGACAACCATTTCCACTGGTATACGAGTAAAGAAAGACATTTTTTGGGTTAAATCTGTCATATGATAAAATACTACATTTAATAATTCCAGAAATATTGGTTGTCAAATTTGTCAAGATATATCTTTGTTATTGTAAGCAATACCCCAGTTCTCCAAAAACAATTTAAACTTGTGAAATAGCAAGTATTATGAACTTTATTGTTCTGTTTACTTTAAGTAAGAAAGTATATTTTATTCCACTCAAAAAATTGTGTTCTGGCACGAACATTTATTGCATGTTAATGACTTTATATTACTTAAAGAAAATTCTGTGTTGCATCAAGCTAGGTCACTCCATTTTGTATCACAAAGGTTTAAGACAAACTGTACTATATTATGTTGTTCATGTCCAATTACCTGGCTGCTTCTTTTTCCATGTTAGCTCATATCATAACATTATTACAATAAGGCCGAGAAATTTTGATTTTGGTAGCTGTTACATGTCATAATTATGTTAACAGTAGGTCTCTGTGACCTATAAATAAGATATCTTGAAATATGGAAACTCCTGACTGGCTGAGGCCTAGTGCTGAATCCAGAAATTCTGAAAAAGGGGGACCAGTTTGAGGTCAGGGAAGGGGCCCACAGCCACAATTAAAACACTCATTTATCAAATATTGCGTATTTTTTGGACTCAAAAGGGAGGGGGCCAGGGGCCCCTTTTAATTCCGCCAGTGGGCTCATGACTAGTAAAACATACTAGACCAATTACATTCATCAAACCGGGCCTGGGGGCATACAACTGTATATTAGACAAAGCTCACTTTTGATCTCAGTCTCACTTTTCCACTATATATTCCTTAAGTGAGACTGGGATAAAAAGTTAGCCCGTCTAAGTTTTATGTCAACCAGGCCTAGTCAATTACTGTTTCTTACGTTGAAAGGTTTAATATTGAAAGTATCTCATCTAAATAACAGTGAACTTTAATCATGGCGAAGTTTACATTACAAAGATGAAATTATAATATCCCAAAAACCTCATGAATATTGGAGTATCCTTTGCAAAAAAATGTTGAATTGAAAAAAAAAAACTGCATATTATTTCTCAAAATATTCTTTACAGCTATGTATGATATATATTTCTTTTGTGTTCTCTCATACTTGAAGACTCCGTCTAACAGTACTTTCAGTACTCTAGTTTCGCTATTTGTTCGTAATAATGAAAAAATCGAAAGAGTAAATGTCAAAACTTTAATTGCTTTCCATCCTCTTGAAAAATTGTCTCAATCACGATTCTACTGAGGTAAAGAAGAATTTAAACAAAACGAAAAACAAATTTAAATAGGTACTCTACCGGCGTGGCAAGAACATGGGTCTCCTTGATGGCGTACAGATTCTGTTGATATAAAAAAAAAATGGTTATTTTAAACGAAATTACAACTTTGACAACATGTCTGGATTGAAAATAATAATTAAAAAAATGCTCTCTGATTTAGAACATAAAGATTTTCAAATTTTGGAATCAATATCTAATTTATATATTGAAAGGTTAATGAACTAGTAAAAGTATATTTAATTTGTGCAGAATAAACATATACATTTAAACATATACAGAAAGGAAAAAGAAATTCAGGGTACATAGCTTAATATTCGAAATTTTTTGACTGCATGACCTAAAATTTCAAAAATTGGTCAGATGAGAATGTTAGTTATTTTGCATCAAACCAAGCATTCAGAATTACTCAACCATAAAATGTGTGTCGTCACGTAGAGAAAACGCTGAAAGTCAAAATTACGTGCAAATTGATGACGATAAGATTGTCAAGAAATCTTGTTGAATCATTGTTTTTCAATATTTACAGGCGATACGAATTCTTAGCAATCTTGGTAAAGTCTACGAAAGTTCCAAGGGGTCTGGTTTTCGAATTGCCTAAGCAAGGATAAAGGTAACAACGGGTAACTGAGCTCTTTCTACCCCCCCCCCCCCCCCCCCCCCCCCCCCCCCCCCCATAAAACTGTTATCCCTTGTCAAAGAGAGTTTGGAATAGTTTCCAACCAACCATGACGATGACGTTGACACAAAACATATTCAAGTTAAAATCGAGTTATTTTTCCTGCCACCTGTTTAATCGCCACCTTACTTCCACAAAACCGCTATTAATACAATAGACTATCTCGATCATTTCATTCGCCCCCAAACTGAAAGAAATCAATTGCGCAATTTGGGTTTTTGAGCTGGTCAACTTTACATTTGTGTTTCTCTCACTGACGCATGCGTGCGTCGTCTGACCAATTTTTCGATGTGGTAACCCATGCCCAATATAGCCAGGGCTTGAAAGATAAACACTCTGATGAATTCCATGAAAAGAAAAAATCAAGGCTGTGACAGATCTATGCGCAGGGAACACATTGAAGATAATGAGAGTTTTCGATTTTAACTTTTGGGGGTATCGTCATATGAGTTTTAATAACTCATGAATTATGAGACAAAATCAAATGGGATTTTGTATGGTTACATATTCTTTAAAAGCGATTTTAAAAGTTACATAGGAATGTTGAAAAAAAAAAACAAATGAAATTAATTTAATTCACCTCAAAAGTTTACCCTTGCGTTTCGTTTTCCTTTCAGTATATATAAGAAATGTGCTCAAATCTATCCAAGTAGTAACTGCCGGTAGTTGAAAAAAATATGCGAATAAGAGTGTTTCCGACATTTGTTTCACAAATAAAATGAAACTAGTTATATCACTTATTTTTCACTTTTGCATTTCAATCAACAAACATAGTGCATTACCAAACAAATGCCGTATCAAGTTCTCTGCACAGTTGTGACCATCATGGTTGTGTTCTACAATACCAGCAAGTTCCTGCCAAACTGAAAGAAATTTTAAAGGCACGACATGAGTTGTAACATCTGTAAATTTTTTTAAATTGCAAGTTTAAAATCTTTGACTAATATGGTGTTTTGACTTCATTTTGAAAGACTTCTTGATCCAAACACGCAACTACTCTGGTTCAGAAAATAGACAAAAAGAAGGTACGTTACAAAATCTATATAAACTTTTATAATTATTAAAAAAGCAATTTAATTACTTCATGTTGGCTTCAATTTATGACAACAATAATAAACTTGTCTTAAAGAAAAGATATATCTTCAAAGTCTTTATGAATCGGCCAATATGAAGTAACATCTGTACACCATTGAAAACTAAGAAGATTCAATTGTAAAAATTTGACAATTTTAGGTTAATCTATTTAATTTTCAACAAAGGGTATCTGCCTTTAAGCCTCGGGAAAATTTTTAAAAGGCAAGCAAAGTAACGATGAACAGAATCACTGTTGCTAACTTAAATGGGAACATGCAAGTGAAGTATTCAATTACTTCATCTTGTCAAATAAAATGCCAGGAATTCTTTAATTGATTAAAAGTGTTAATACACCTTAGAGTTTTGATCTTGTCCATCGGTTCTTCTCTTTCGTCCCCTGAGCTGATAAATCTTTTTATCAGGTATTTAACGCAAAGTAACTATGTCGAAACACCAAAGTATATAATTCCAATGATAATTAAATATACAGAGATGATAACATTAAATTGTTTAACAAATACCAGCTGTATGCGAATGGCAAGACTGCGAGGTTGAATGAGCAATATTCATTTGGTCGAGGAAATGTGATATAGCACCTAAAATGAAATAGAAAGATATGTAATAAATCAGAATTAGGGAGTGGATTGAAATAGGTTTTGAATGACCAAATCAAATCATTTTATGTGTAGCCAATCAGAGTTGTTATTTTAGCCAACTAAATGATTAGAATTATTAACCAATCAGCGCTAAATGTACAGAGGCAAAATAGTAGAAATACAGGGATCAATATATCTTCGTTCAATTTTGGTGGAACTCTATGTCGGAGTTAGGTGACTTGGGAAAGGTACCTGGGTTGTGTCGGGAAACAACAGGATTGTTAGTTAGACCACTCCGCCCATGGACCCAGTTCCCTAGTGTCTTTGTTAGTCTCTATGGTGTCTCGGTGACTTTAGCTTGTGTCTAACCAAAAGTAATATAATGTCTTGTTGATATCTATGGTGTATCGGTAACTATAAATAGCTTGTGTTTGTGTGCCTTAAGATGCATACGTGACTTTTTATATCCCCCGCTTGAAAAGTGGGAGGGTATATAGTAATCGGGATTTCCGTCCGTCCGTCCGTCTGTACGTCCGTCCGTCCCTCCGTCTGTTACGCTTTATCTCTTATCCACAACTCCTCTTCTACTACTGAGTGAAATTTAATGAAACTTTCACAGAATCTTTATTACATATTGCCATTATGCACCTCCTATTTTACTTTTTTATTCGACACGTATTTTAGGTTTCCCGTAGCAAAACATGGACATTGCCATTATATGTTTACCGATGACGTCACATTTAGAAGCTTCTCTATAACATATAATAGGACGAGTTATTCCTCTTTACACATTACCGTAAAACAATATATAGCAACACATGAACATTATGGGAGGCGCAGGGTATCATTTAGTGAGCTCATTGCTCACAGTACCTCTAGTTTTAGGGTGTGTTTAATGTAGTTGCAGACTTTGTCGGGAAACAACAGAATTGTTCGATATACCAGTCAGTCTGCAGCTACAAAGATAGATTTTATATTTTATTATTTGGTTTGTTGATAAATGATTTTTAGTTATAGTTCATTTTTATTTACTTTAACAATCATTCTCCAGACAGGACCAAGGAAAAAGTATTAGTGAATTTCTATTGTAAGTGTCATTGTTAGTGGATCGAATAAATATTCGATCTCCAATGCAAATGATTTGTAGTTGGATATGAATTTTATCCAACAAGCTGCGTTTTTTTTATACCCGAGACGTTGTGAGGGGATAAACACTCATCGAGTTCGAAAAAAATCATATCCATCTACAAATCATGGAGGATTCTTTTTATCCCATGTTTAATACTTCACAATCAATATTTAACATACTTTATATATATAAATATATATAGGACTGCACTTAATTTTACTTCATTACGCTAACGCAAAACCGATTGTGACGTCACACCTGTGGGATACGAAAAATATCCAATGAGTCATATCCACGGGATAAAGGGGTAAACATCGGGTAAATAACGATAATGTCACTGAGAATACTCATTTGGTTATTAAATCACGTAATGAGAATGATACATATTTCTATACGGGTGACTATGGTGATGTCTTGAACAGTTCAATGCTGTAGTATCTGAAAACAACGATTTCTCAGAATAATTTTTCAAAGAATATTTTTCAAAAGAAAAAAAACCTTTCAATCCTGCTCTTTCATCTCAATATTATAAAAACCTTGCAATTTGCAACTCTAAATTGTTAAATGATTATCCATTAACTACCTCTATAGTTATTTTCTAAAAAAAAAAAAAAAGACATATCGTCAAAATCGCTACACAAATTGCATAATGAACATACCCCGGCCTCCACTGTAATGTAGATCAAAGTTCTTGTTACACTCGCAATAATCATCGGTACCATTAGGAAAGAGTGCTGAAGTACACGACAGAGAGATATAAAGAATAACTACATTGACATACATTAACATTATGCACACGTATATTTAAACAAAAAGAGTTATCCATGTCAATGGCTCAATGTCATTGGGTTCATAAGTTTTTTTTATGTTCATTTCAAATGAATCATACATGTTAACTCTCCCGATTTAGGCGGAAGTCTACCGCTTTTTCACTCCATCTCCCGCCTACCGATTTAATTCAGAAATCTACCGCTTTTTTACAAAAGCTGCGTCTAAAGTATTTTTGGTTCGCTTGGGTATCCATTTTTGAAGCCACTCTCATAAAATCTCGCTAGATATCGCGTGATTTGACTCGGAATCATACAAACGCTTTTTTGTACATAGATTTCAAGCACGGATTTGACAACGACAACAACACAAGACTACCAGTGATCACATTGGTTACGATAAATTAATCAACATCCCTGCCATGAAAAAGGAGATACAGCTTTTAAGAATTAGATGAAAACATTTGACATCGTCTTTAAAAGCACAGAAGCTCACAACTTTATCAATAAAGTCAATAGAAATCACTCGATTGACCAAGCCATGTGGCACATCTCTACTTTCGTTTTCGATCATCGCGGGAAATCTGATTTATATAACGAAAGATAGGAACTTGTTTTAGATCTAGATTAAACCATGCCATCATTTGTTTTGTTTAAAAACTGAATGAACATTCAGAATTATTGCTTCTAGGCTATATCAGCAAAGATCACTCTTCAAAAGGCTAAGTAAAGCAGCCAATCCAAGCAAAATGATGAGCATGAAAAATATTTGAATTTATACAATTTATGTCAAACTTAAGGTGTTTCTGTCTTCTTCTTTGCTGTTGATATTTAAGATTAATTAGTGTAGGTACCTGATTTCGTTAAAGGCTTATAATATACATGTATATTACATGAAAGATATCGATAATCCATGCGTTAAACAACACGCGCGCAATGCTACCGCTTTTGAGGTCTGAATCTCCCTATTTTTCATCACAATAGGTTAACATGTATGAATGAATAGACATTACAGATGAGAGAACACTCATATTATTTTATGTACATAAATGTATGTACATATGTAGTATGATAAAACTGCAAAATTAACACAAAAGGTACGAAGCATGTAACTGGAAATATAAAGTGAAAAGAACTCCCCAAATTAACGAGTATAAAGTCTGAGGTTATACAAATGTGTAACCAATCATAAACATCTTAAGGTAGGATTCTTCTCTGGTTTCTGACGAGATGAAACATTCAAAGTATATTTGCTCATATGTTTTATATATTGAGGTGTAAGGAATTTAAAAGACCATATTTTTCTTTCCTCATCACAATTGTACAACTTTAAATAGAAATGGTAAACTGCGTTTGAAAACTAGCAGGGACTATATTTTTGGCGGAATGGTGGCGTATGAAAATATCTTCTTTTCTGCCTCTCAAAATTATAATAGAACAATGAAAATAGTTATAATTTTTATACAATCGATGACTTGGAGAAATTTTCAAATGTAAGTTAAATTAATAATGAGGGACTAAACTTTCAAAATATATCAAATAAATATGATTTTTCAATCAAACTAGAACTTTATTAGATTTTAAATGCTTCCTATCAAAGTGCAGATTTGAGCCAAAAATCCATAAAAAGTATTTTTTCTCTCTTAGCAAACGATCAAAACTTTTTGTTTTTGTATCATTTTGTACATTTATAAGACTACTTTATTATATGTGAAAATAAGAAAAAGTTAAATATAGGAAGCATATGAAAATAACTAATACGAGGGTCATTCAAAAAATAAGTAGACAATGCTTCTCACCGTCATATAATTATTACAAGATTATAGATCAACACATTTTCGTAAACATAAACATTTATTTTGTCGAAGTGTGAAGTTTCATTCCATTTGATTAAAAAAAACTCATGTTAGCCAAAATTTAACCCAACATGTTTTGTTACCACGGAGCACGGTTAACCAACATTGTAACGTCAAAGACAACGTTGAGAAAGTTTGTCAAAATTATACTAATTTTTTTAATTTCAAACACGGTTTGTAGCGTCTTCTCCATTCAAAAAACATATCGATAACACTTAACACCTAGTTTGCGAACAATTGAACAAATATAGCTTGAATAAGAAAGTCATTGTTTTCAAATTCTTTAATTTACCATGTAACTCCATTAATTCTGCAACAGTGAAAAAAACATCACGTTCAATGACGTTTCTAACTCTTTCGACAATATTTTTAAGTTTAACCTGTTTCTTTGCAGACAATCCATCGTCCGCTTCAAACTCGCTACCACTCAAAAATTGTATTTTCCATTTAATACAAATATACAGATTATTTTTTCATACAGATCCTGGTTTATACGGATTTTTTAAGCTTGTAGAGGAAGTTTCCCGAATTTAAAATACAATTTTATTGCTACTTGCTGCTCCGTGACGTCCTCCAACGTCATGGTTTTTTGCTTTTTTTAATCAAGTCCGTATGTATTTAGAAACTGATATCTTTTAAATGGAGCGACATATTACATAACCTGATTTCATTTTAATGAATATAGCAATACTTTGTTTAAACATGTAAATTTTATTTCGTTTCAGCTCCATTTATTGGAGGTATGGCTGTAGATACTATAAAGTGAAAATTAGTAAATTACTCAATTTTGACGGTGCTCCGGGACCCCATTTTCGCTCTTCTAAATCCTTGGTAATTTTAATAAATATGAAGATACATTGCAATTTTTTTCTCAAATTATTTGATTTTGTTGTTAAAATATTTGTACCAAATTTGGATATAATATGACGTTAAATAAAAATGTTAGGACAAAAGTCTACGAACTTTTTGAATGACCCTCGTATATCCTAAAAAATTAAGAAATACAGAGAAAATTCGGATTAGCCAATATCCAGTTAAGTGAAATTATTTATGTAAATTTGGTAATATCATGCTATAGACCAGATATAGTTATATGTTTTTATGCAAAAAGAACAATCATTTAACTTTTGAAATAGAAGTAGGAATCACATGATTGGAAACAGTTATTTTTATTCTTAATGTCAAGGAAAAAGATAATGACCTTGACCTGACCTTGCCTCTAATATAAAACGGTCAAATTTAATTTCAATGATACTATCACTTACTGATATTGTCGTCTTGATTCTGTGAAAATTTCATTAATTTTTAATTATTAGAAATATGAGAAGAATCCTACCTTAAGACTATACACTTCTTCAGCTATTTAAAACAGAAAGAATTTTTTTTTTATACCTGCCATCTGTTTTATAACAGTATCTCTCCTCATACCATTTGGATACCCAGTTTCGTGATAAAGGAAGGACCATACTAGAAGACATCCGAAAAATGATTACTTTTCAATTATATAATCGGTAAGATCAAGACTCGAAAACATTTTTGAACGTTTAAGTAAAAATTCAAGAACTTTTTTCACGAAGTAATTAAAAAAATAGTAGTTAGAAGTATACACTGAAAATTATATAATGTTTTGTACTTCTCTAACAAAGTTTATTATTTTATATACTTTAAGATTTTAACACTTGTGACACTTATAACACATTTAAACTCAAAAATGAAATTCGAGCTGTAGATTAAAGTGTAAAGAATCACATTGACGCAAAAATGGGCAAAATTGAAAAAAAAAAAACCTTTGCACTTTTCTCAATACTTGAAAGTCAGGTTTTAAAATATTGTTTTATTCCTTCGATCCTTCTTATTCAATTGCACGAATCAAAGGAAAATGATACAATAGTCTCAAATAAGTTTCAAGAATTCTGTAGCAATCTTCAAAATCTATAATCAGAAAATTTTCTCTAATCTTTGCGTGCTTTTGTTCTATTTTATGCTATAAATAGAAGTTACATGATCGATGATTTCATGGACGATAACGATACAGTAGATACAATCGTCGTATTGATTTCGATTTTTTTCTTTGCTTGCTTCATAGAGCAAATGAGTTGGTTAAAACTTTGCTATCCTAATATATTCTATACAGTTTTGGATTTATGATACAAATATCATATGGAAAATATATGATTTAGACTCACTATTATTATTCGTCGTCCTTTTAAGGACATAGAACCAATTTGTAATTTATTGTCCTCTAACGAATATAGATTTTGAATATGTAAAAACAGTTTAAAATGTATTTTTATTCACATATGTTTATCATCGAAAACCACTGTTTGTTAGTATTTTGAATGTAAATTGTCCAAAAGAAATATTTTTCAATGTCTTCTTTTCAACATTTCCACGATCTTCCTATCAATTTTATCCATGTTTTTTTCTAATCTCTCTCTCTCTCTCTCTCAATCATATTTTTCTATTATTAATTGTTCATTACTCTATTATGATAACGGGCAAACGTTATGCAAACAAGATAAATCATTACATGTTAACCACTTATATTAGAAAAACATACCTGTATGTTCACTAAGACACTCCCCTTTCTTAAAAAGTTCATATTCTGAATAATAAAAACAAAAAAGTATTAGTTATGTCTCAATTTAACTGGATGGTAATTACTGTGTGAAATATGCTACATTTTCCTAAATTACCTGATCCAAATTTTATATTATTTATAATAAGTGCACCCCCACCCAAATTAATTATAGAAACAATCGGTCACTTACCTTACATTAAGTTGGAATGGAATCAATTCAAAACAACAACCAAATTAAACAGTTTAATCAGTATAATCAGATATTGACGATATGAAAACGATTATTTGGTTGTATAAAAAATCATCATTTTATTACCAAAAGAATGCGCAAATTCTTTTTTATATATACATCTGTAGATAGAGCCAGATGGATACGTAAGCAATTGGATATTATAGTTATAAAAACCGTTAACAAGGGTGCAGAACTATTTTTGAGCATCTTATAAACATATACTCACTTTCACTTTGTGATGATAAAAAAGAGACAGAAACATAACTCACTTTCACTTTGTGATAGGTGGTGGTGGGAGGAATGGATGGTCGTCGGAGGGGAAGTACCTTTATAAATGGATGAAAGTGAAGCTATTACATTATGTCAAATGACAAGATTTAAATATAACCTGAATTACGAAAATATAAAAGAAACAATGTAACCAGAGATACATTTTACTATATAAAATAAAAAGAAGCAGATAACATATGTGAGAAGTTTGAAGTAAATAGTCCTTGTCCACGATTCCATCTGATGATTCTTTTCATTTTAAAACCCAAACACACACACAATTTCATGTGTCGCTTGATATCCATCTTCATTGTTATTCCGGATAGATTGAATCCGATGAAGAAGATATAAAACCTACCCTGAGTGTGCGTAGTGTAAGAAGTGTGAGTAGAAGAACTATGACAGGCATTATGACAGCTTGGTTCGTGGTTATGAGTATAGGCAGCTGCATTTGAAAAATATTATGTGACCCAAGCCAATTAAAGCAATCTGATTAGAAATTTACTACTATGATAATTATGCAGCTTATTTTTTTTATTATTTATTGTAAATAGTACAGTTGTATTTATCATGTTTACAAATATGCTATCAATTTAAAGTTTGAAAAATAGGTCTGTTTTCTTTAAAAGTAAAACAGATGTTTTTTTCTAAAGTTCTTCTTGCTATAATACCTACTGGAGAATCTAGTAATGTAAATACCGTACATATGAGACACAAAATCATCAATGCAATGGGAGTCCATATTTCTTAATTGTAGAAGGTCTCTCCATACTGAAACAAAGGGAACATGATTTACTTAAAAAATAAACAAGTGTTAAAATGTTCTCTGCGCAGGTAGGTTAAGGTTACAACCAAATATTCTACTTGACTATATGATATGATGTCATAGTAAGCTATATGAAGTGAAGTTTAGAGATAACAATTTCTTATAATCGATATCTAAGATTGATTTGAGGTCGTAAAAATTAATCAAAATATGCAGAGACATAATATAAACGGAATTTTGTCATTTCTGGGTCTCTGTAGTTATCACAGGGCCGGTTAAATACCAAACCCGTGACGTCATAACTGTTGATCATGCAGTGGCAGAGTGAAAGTGAAACGTAACGAGAATTCATGTAAACAAACACAAGAAATCGGAGTTTAAAAGCATTTAGAATGAATATCTTGTGTGATTCATGTGGGAATAAAGCTTATGAATAAGGTATGGTAATATACTTCTACAATTTCTTCGTAAAATTAAAGCAGGGAGGGTGTTTACTTGCCGATCAGCCTTTCCTCTGTCGTTCGTAACAAATAAGATGCAAAAGTTCAACACTACGCCGCACACTTTGAAAATTAATTTTTGTTTCTATCTAAAGTTCTTATTCTTATGTTTTTTGAAAGTGTGGCAAGAATCGTATGGTTTACGGGAATTAATGCATTTTTTTCGATGTTATGAACAAAATGTAAAAAATTTTGGGAAGGTTTCGTCTGAAAGTGTTGAATAATTATTTCTGTGATAGGACAGTAGGATTCTAGCAGCACTTTTCATGGTACAGAGATGTTTTTACAAAACTTATATTACAAATTGAAATTAATTATCCCCGGGGTAGTGTTGAACTTTTCACTTTTTCATTAAGGCATTTTTTCCAATTATAGACGTCACGTGGTGACGTCGTTGTGACGTGCTTCATGTAGTATAAGTCCCATTGAAGTCTGTAGAATGCATAATTATAACAAAAGTTTTATCCTTGACTTTTCCGATTTATTAGTGTTACATAATTATAAAAAAGTGTTAATTCGTCGAATTCTGGTCCATGTGCTGCCTTTACATACCCGCGTGGGAAATAAACTTTCATTTGATCAAATCTTGTGAAGCCCAGAGGGCTTCTCAGTAGATTTGATCACGTATCAAGTTCATTTCCCAGTGAACTTTGTCACATTGTTTTTTATCACATATTTACCTTTGATACCAATTCTGAGTAAAACTGAATTTTTAACACAAACGGGTCGCTGTATTGTTTTGTTGTGATCCGTAATAATCTATAAGATGTGTGGCCTTAAAAATTTGCCTCGCTTCATCTCTTGAATATTTACAATGAGGTTCAACAGTCCAGTTGAGGAATTCTTTGTTTATCATGTAAGAACAATAATCCATACTAAGAAAAATCTTACCATATAATGATTTCTTAATATATTTAAAGTACAAATGTGATATCTCCTGTTTTAGTTTGAAAAATCAAAATTTTGCGAATTTCAGGTTAAAAAGGTTTATGAAATTTTAGGCTAATTATAGTATTTCAAACATTCTTCACACTGAATGAAGGCCCACTAAACATCTATTAAATGAAAAAAAAACTAGACAGAAATATATCATCTCGCCTTGTGGTTTGGTCGCACTATGACCTATGATTCCCAAATAAGTTTATAAAGAAATGAACATATTCTCTTTCAATAGGTCCATCAAAGAAAAACATTTGTAAATGAATTAGTATATTTGTAATAATTTAACAAAGCCACAAAGTTTGCAGGTTCTAAAAAAATCTGTCAATGAAAATTTATAGGCAACTATAGCTCTGTTGGGTCAATGAATAGATCATGCAACTTGTAGGTAAACCTTATATTAGTAACATTCTGTAAATTTCTCAAAAAAAATGCTATGAAAATAAAACAAAATGTTACTTCAGTCTTTATCATTTCTAAAACACATACAAATATTCATATTTTTGCTATCAAATCATCCTTACTTTTGCATTCTTTCCTAAAATTTGACTACATACTAGGGATGTCAACGAATATTCGAATATTCGAATATTCATTCGATGAGTTGATATTCGAATATAAATTCATGATTCGAATATTCGGATTTTAAGTATACAAGCATCAAAAAGAAAAAAAAATCTGGCAAAAACTGAAGTTTTATCAGAAATTGAATCAAATTCTCATCGTTGACCAGTAATAAGATTTTATTTAAAACAAAATTAAAATATATTCCTCTTGGATTACCTTAAAGGTTTGAAGAATGTGTCTATTAAAATGATATAAATTATTCATTTGATCATTTAATTAAAGACATAACAGTGTCCAGTACTTATAATTAGTTTGTATTGTTGAAAGGACACATTTTTGTTTATGCATACATCATTTAAAATCATTATCAGGAAATTAATTATCTAAAAGTAATTGCTTTTAATGTTTCTCCATTAGACAGTTGTTCTGTGTGGTATAAATCTGTAGGGTTATCAGTGTACACTTTGGTAAGATGATTAATTAATCTGGAACTTATTAAAAGAATCTTTTGAATTTTCGGGGGAAAATTTTTTTTATTACATTTTGGATATAAACTCTTCATATATTCTGTAAAATATTTTAAGAATATAATTAAAGTGCATTTACAAAACTCTACATGAAATTTTATTCCAAAATAATGACATAAAACGTATATATATTGCTTTACAAAAGAGTGAAGATATATACATATTATAATGCAAGATGTATTTATTTTATCGAATATTCGAATATATTCGAATACTACTATCGAATATTCGAATATCAATTATTGACAATTTTGACATCCCTACTACATACATTTATTGAAATAAATTGGGAGGAAGGACATCCCACAAATGTAATATTACATTTAATTTATTTTTTACTTTGTAACAAATAATTGGATCTAAAAAGAGAATACGAGAAATTAGGATAACGACCCACTTTATCCGGGTTGTTTTGGTATCCTCTGATCTTATAACCGAAAAAGAAGCTTCAGAGTTACACCGCCGAATTCTTTCTTTCAAACCATAGAGTGCTTTTAAAATATTTATAATAAATTCAAGATTAATTAAAATACTAATTAAGTTCACCGTCAATTAAAACTGAATGGTAATTTTACTACTCCTTTTTTTCCAGGGTAACCTCATATTACAGTTTAAACAGTTGTAAATTAAGAAGAATATCTGAATTGCATGTAATGCACTTAGATATACATATCTGTTTTCCAATAATTCTTTGATCCCGACATTCTGAACGCACCTTTGCTACGACTATGACATTGTATTCTAGATGTTGCTCCGGGTAGATGGTAGGCCTGAGTTAAGTAAGTATTCATAATGCCTACATTAAGAAAACAAATTACTTTTAATTTTTTTCCTTTTGAGATATAGAATGGATTGTTTATATATTACATTGTATTTATATATACAATACACTGTACTGCTTGCTGTCATTTTATTACCTTGGAAGGAGTGGGAACTTCTACATCTATCGGAATGAGGATCTACCAATAAAGTACAGAAAATGACATGTAAAATAAATTGCCATGCATAAAATATACGAGGGTTGATCCAAAGGTAATATCACAGTGTCCATATCTTTTATATTTGGCATCTTATCAAAGAAAGTAAAGCCTTAATTACCTACCCAGACACACATAATATACATACACAAGCCATATGCTTGTATTTGTTTAAGTATTTCTCAGAATTAAAATCAAATGCAAAGTTTATATTTATGTCCTGTTCACAGTTTGTATTATTTGTAGATTCTTGTGTTTTTCTATTTGTTTTTGTTCTTTTTTTTTCTTTTAGTTTTTTTAAATTTTTTTTTCTTTTATTGATCTAACACAGTTACTTTCGTCTTTTTTATGCAAAGTAATGCTAATTTGAATTATTATAAGAAAGATCCGGAAATTCCATAGATTGAATCAAGTGCCGTGGAGGAGAGAGAATCTTATGTTTATCGAACTTGTCCTCAGTTTACTGACTCAATGCAAACATGAACGAAAAGGATTATCGTAAAAAAAAAATTGGCAAAATTTTGATATTTGGAAACAAAGGCAACACTATTCATAAAAATCAAATTGATACATAACGTTGTGTTTATTGACATACACTCTTACCTTCCAAATTCTTTTAAAATCAAACTTAAATTCTAAGAGGGATAGCCTTTTGAAAGATTTTTTTTGAGGGGGGGGGGGCTTCAATGGAAATACTGTTCATAGAAATTAAAAACCGGTTAATAAATGTACCTGGATTCTATTTATACAATCATTTATCTTAGAAAAACTACTGAACAAATTGAAATTGACATTTTAAAATCAATTTGAAGTCCATAAGCTATGGCTATGTTATTGGGTTTTTACGTCTATTGACCTAAATTGACTTTGCTCCACTTACTGATTTGTGTATGTCGCATCTTTCTTAATCGCCTTTTATTTTGTTATTGTTTACAGCAATAATGTGTTATCTTATATTTTTTTTTCACATATGTTTTATGGTTAATATAATACGATAATAAATTAAAGATCTAGGTATATTTCCAGCAAAGATTTTATGTTATATATAATTATATAATGTTGGCATTTATTTGTTCAATCATTGAGTAAACGCGGTAGTTCTTTTTAAAGATATGCCTGGAATCATTAATTCCTTTCTCTTGCTGTGAATTTAACTTACTAGTTTTTCGATAGGGATAAGATATCTCGTGATGACAACTACACCGTGGAAGATCAAGATCTGAAAAAAAAATTTCACGATGAAAGAACAATAGATCCAACTAAATGTACTTTTATAATTTACATAAAAGAAATACAAAACTTATAATAATAATAATTATTATCATCATCATAATCATAATTCAATTATTTAGTCTTGTGAAATATATCATGAAATAGTTCATCTAAATAAAAAGAAAATAATGTCGTTACACCCGGTCCTTTAATTTGGACCTATAAGTCACATGGAATTAAATCTTGAAAACATGTATTGTTAGTAAAAGTAATCATACATGTTTGTATATGTATTTCATTATTGCTTGCTTCTTGATCCTTGCTTATGTTGCAGAATAAAAGCTGGATATTAGTGTTCCAAATTGAAATAATAATCAATAATGGCGAAAGTGACACTTAGTAAGTTATGCTATAATTATATTGGTACATGAGGTACATATCAGAAGAGTTATTATAAAAATTTAGATTTAAAGCAAATCAAATTTTCATACACCTCTACAATGACCATGTTTTGAAAAGTACTACTAGTATCTATAAAATGATTAGTACTTACTTGCCATTTTCCCAATTAATTGTAACAAACAATTACGATCGTGTCGTCGAAGATAATCCAAGTGTTGGAATACTACAAACACAGAATAATAAACATTAAAGGTGCATGGACACTGATTTGAAGTTAATATTTTCTGTATAATATCACGACATTTATATTTTAACAGCATTTCACACAAAAATATTTCAAAATGTTTTTTCATCTAAAAGTTATTAAAACTAAAAGTTATTAAAAATTTTTGGATGGGTTTGATTGACATATCCTTGAACTCTCACAAATTTTACTTTTATTCTTAATACTTAGAAAAAGTGGCAAACATTTTTCCAGAAAAATAATTACATTCAGAGTAGAAATGTTCGAAAGCAATACAATTTTCTACATCTTCTACTATGAAAAGCTTCATCAATATGTCCCTGATGAATAAAACTTTTAATGCATGTATAAACGTAATTTCCATTTTTTTAAAAATAGAAAATTTTGGTAATTAGTGTCTTGATTATCTATCTTTCAAAATGGTAAAAAAAGATGTCCAATTTGTCTTGCTGCCCACACGTGTAACACAGCATGATTAGGGATAGGAAGCCATTATTTTTTTTAATATAATTTACAACACTCTTCGAGCATAATCATACTCGAAATATAAATTTCATTTAGAAAATATGGCATTTTTATCAATTTTCAGGAAATGCATATCCTTTTTTATTAGAGAACTAAGCCTTTGGATCAATTGTGTAACTGATACGTGAATTTTTGAACGTGTAATTTTGCAACTTATGTAAAAGTAAGACAAAACAGAAAGAGGAAAGCCTTTAAAAGTCAAGAATTACTAATATTTGTATTGAATAAACTGTTGATATAATCAGTTGAGTATTATTCTTGAAGAAATCTTGAAATAACTTCTTCAATTTTAAAATTTTGATTTGTTGCTCCATTTTTCTTAGAGAAATACTCCTCTTACCTGAGTATGGTGAAAAACAATTTTCCTTTTCTGCATTGTCGAACACATCTGAGAATATAATTCAAACATATTTATATCTGTTGTCCAGCAATTAACAATGATATTGATACAAAAATGTATGTACAATAAAAAAAAGGGTTTAGGGAATAGTCATGCTGTAGAATTAAAATACAGTATTAATCAAGTTAATTTTCTACTACTCCTTCCAAGCTAATAAACAGTAGAAATGGCTAAATAAGAAAAACGATCACTTTTGGGAAGAAATATTTTTGCAAAGTTTGAGAGTTGACCGTGAATTTCGTTTTAACTCTTGTAATATAAATGAAGCTTACTTGCTAACCACTCCCATTAATTGCATTTATTAAAAAAATCAACTCAACTCAAAATAATTTAAATATTTTTCAAATTGTTTTACGAGGTGTGATTAATAAGTATCTAAAAATAATATAATAATTTAATTTTGGTTGAAAGGCGTTATTTTGATAAAAGAGTAGTCTATATTGTATAACCTGGGTTGCCTACATCACAATTGCTTACGTCAAAAACGTATCCATCCGCTTGATGATACATTTAAAAAATGTACAAGTTAAAGGCAGTTTTGAAAATAAATTTATTTTGTACATTGAATGATTGAAAATGCAATTATAAGGAATGAATTAAACAGCTACCCAAGTTATATGGTATAACCTGGGTTTGGAGCAGTGAACGCTTTTTTATGAACCTCTTCGCAGTTTCTAAATCGCAAACTGTCCCAACCGAGTTTATACAATGTAACCTGAGTAGCTATTAAATTCATTCCTTAATGCGAACTATCTCTATATTCACAAAAGTGCAATTCAGATGAGAATGGCACACAAATAATAATAAATTTGTTCTATTCATAATGTGAAAATGACGTCAATATGAAGGTAGCTTGTAAGAAAAATTATTACATGACATGTAATAATTTGTCAGGTGTGCATTAAAACCGGAGGGGCCTACTTTAAAAAGTAATACACACTGAAACCTATTTTTTATATTTACAGAAGTAATTCAATTAGTTTGCGAACTTTTTTATCACCTCTTGTATCTTGCTTCATTTTTGTCCATCTCTAATATGAAAGTTTGAATGATGAAACAAAATAAATTGAATCCAAAGGGGGAAAAAGAAATATGTTTTTGATTACCATTCCCGATACGTTTTTTTCATATCAAAATCATAAACATCACTTTAATTACATATCACTAGTAAATATCTTGTTTGGCAATTGTCTATAGACCTAACACACTATATACCTCTGTAATAGGAATGGCGTCGATGGCAGTCGTCATGGTCATCATGTGTTGTGGCCCGTGCAGATAAAGAAACCACAGATTCAGAAGCGCCAAGGGATCGAGAATCCCCCAAGGATATGGACACTGCTAAGTGCAGAATAGAAATGGTAAGTACCAGAATCCCAGGTCCCTTGTTACACCTCACTAAAACACAAGGACATGCTCAGTTACAAAAAGTTTACAATCATTTCTCTTTGATAGATATTATTGTTGTTTTTAGTTGTTTTAATTAATGATATTGAGAAGACTCTGAATACATCATTGCGATGAAGATGATCAAATTACAATGTACGTCAACAATCTTACATTTATAACAAGTCATTTTTCTGTTACTTATCCATAAAGAAAAAATTGACTCACTCTCTGTCGGTTCTTTTGTCTTTCTACAGGATATTTGAAGTAGACTAAAGATAAGAACCAATAAAAGGAATTCGTGCATTATACAGGTTATCGACACATGTCCACTTGACATATATATAATAAATATAGGAAACAAAGTGCGTAACCCAGAGAATTAACATATCATACCAGTAACCCACAGATTCACATCGAAGATGCAACAAGAAATTAGTCTTTTAGAGAAAAGAATGGGCTAGATTTGAAAAGAGAAACAAAACTGATAAACCCCTAGAAAATAATTAGCACTTTGAAAACTATGAGTTCCTGTAAGAATATGAAAGAACTGGTTGAATTTCCATTGGAAATTTCATTTGGTAATAAATCCTGCAGGTTTAAAGTAAGTGACTGTGTAAAAAAAGTGCAACAGAAATATAGATATTTTCTCTTTCGTATTTTGTCCTGCAAGATCTGAAATGTCCATAAAAATCAAACAAGCGAGTGCTTAAGATACACTGAGGTGTTTCTGTCTGCTAGTCATGGAAAGACCCCTTTGTCTTGTTTGTCAAGGAAAGCAAGTTCAAGCCAGTTCAATGCGTCATGCAGTTTTGATAACGTATTTATCATGCAACATAACATCCTCATAACGTCAAGGGTCCTGAGTGAACACGTTCCTTTGGATCCCTGAGACATTTCATTCTATATCTTGCGGGCTGACTGCAGCGTTGTCTTTAAGAAAAAAAATACAAATCCAGATTGTTTTTCTTATTTCTCACCCAATCACAATAAGCTTTTTTATGATAAACAATGCATAACTCGTACATATTAGGCGTCAAATGATTCTTTTCTGCTTATGGCATCGGTGTATTTCAGTTTGATTGGTGCTTCTCAATGAGAGAAGCAAGCCCAAATAAACCAAATGACATTTGTCAGAAGTCCAACAGAATCGTGATGACTTAACACTCCTGATGTTGTGAGGATGACAACATAAACATTTTCACATTTAGGCTTCCCTAAAAACAGTGAAATTTTCAACAGAGTCTTGTAAGAAATCCGTCAGCCAAGAGCATTTCTGAAGGGCTCTTTTGTTCTTGGTATAGGAAATGTCCATATAACATGAAAAATTAACCATATATATTTGCTTAAATACGTATCCATTCATCATTTAAACACCAATATCAGACAATAAATAGGTACAATAAAATCATTTATTGCAAAATGTTTACAAACATTACAATGACATAAGACCCATGTACATGATTCGCTAATAGGTAATTTCATAGAAGTTCGAGGCAATATGTGTGAAAGTTTCAAAATGTGTGGCATGTCGGGCAAACTCCTGAATTTCAAATTTACCACCACATTCTTGCGTTGCAATCTGCAAAACAACAATGTTAGGATGATAATTAATATTATATGAAGAAAATAATTTCATGGATTCATCAAAAAAATATTTGGACGATTATACAACTAAACACATTCTGGAACACTTTTGATACATGTATCTACTGTAATATAAACCATTCAGAGTATTTTTGAAAAGTAGGTTAAAGTTCAAGATTAAAAAAGGGACCCTAATATTTTAAACAACGTCTTATGACAATCAGTGCACATGCTAAATATCATAGACCAACCACTGAAATGTCGAAAATATGCTGTACAGTGGACCCTCATTTATCCGGACGCTTTGGTTCCCAGTCAATTTGTCCGGATATGTGAAGCATCCGGATATCTGAATTACCAGTTAAACAAGACAGAATAACATTTTAAAATTTCGTTCCGATGAAAAATCGTCCGGATACTGAAGCATCCGGATATCTGGCGTCCGGATATCTGAAGGTCCACTGTATATCGGCATTAGGAACTGTTTTGAAAAGCAAATTAAGGACAAGTAAAAAGGTCACCAGGTTGGTAATTATGGTATGTTACAAATGCCATAGTGCTCAGCAATACAATACCAAAACATCTTATCCATTTCTCTCACATGTACATTTCTCGAGTTATAAGGTGTGAAAGATGGACTGACAAGAGTAGGGTTAAGTGATCCCTAAGTGTCGCTCTGCCTTATATATGATATTGAAATGGCACTTACTCTGAGAGACGTATTGGTACAACCCAAAAATACCCCGGCAAGTCCATCCAAGGGGTAAGTAGAGGAACTAAAAGTTGCAACTGGTGTATAAGGCTTCAGAGTGTTGCATGCATCAACTACCTGCGTTACAATAGCCAATATAAAGTAACAAAAAACAAAAAATAGTTTTTATAAATTATAAATAATGTTATCTATTCGAATATAAGGGCTGAAGAATAACTGAGAAAAATGTAATTGTTTTTATTCATATTCTATTTAGTTCCATGGCAAAGGTGACCAATTTGAAAATTCAAAATGTTGAAAGCATAAATAAAGCTTGTGAATTTTATCAAGGTGAAGTTTTATTAGGGTTGTTCAAACCATCTTTGATTGAAAATATACAGGCAGAGTTTAAAATACACCTGCTAAGTTGAATCAATGAAATTCTAAAAATGTACACATGTTCACACTTTTTTCGGCTTCACTTATATTGATCAAAAAAGAGGTTATAGTTAAATTGATCCTGCGACCGAAAATAAGGCATCACTTTTTCAAGATTTTTTTCGCAACAATATTAATATGCAAGCGACATTTTTTCCCATCTGTTTGAACAAATAGGTTTTGATAAACAGAGACACTGAAAAGTTTCCGAAAGAACAAATGATCTGAAATTGTGCATAAAGAATCGAATTCATGCACCAAGGCCTTTTAAGACAGATGTTTAACAACAAAACAATGTACCCTTTTGCCTGGTTTCCAAAACTTTGAAATAGGAACAAAATCACACAAATCCCTGACAATTAAATTGGACGTCGAAATGCGTCTAGTACAGTTGGTATTGAATTCTGGGTAAAGTTGTTGAAATTTGGCCAGTTCTGTGACAGTGCGGATTTTAGAACATTCAGTTGATTGACCTACTTCAACGAACAAAATTTTATGATTTAGTTACTCGATCGTCTTAATTCTAAATGATCAATTTTTTTAAAAAATAGAAGAAATCATACGTTGTGTGATTGCTAATTTTACATCTGGACTATTTATGAACCTGCCTAAGGTTGAGGAGACTGTTGGTGTTGAAGAACTAGATTTACTAGTAGTCGTAGAATGACTATTTGTTGTTTCTGTTGATGTGATAGTTGGTTTACTTGTGGTTGCTGTTGTTGTCGATGGTGAGTTTGTTGTTGTGGGTAGAGTGGTGGTTGTTGTTGTTGAAGGTAATGTGGTTGTTGTTGTGGATGTTGTCGTCGTAATAGTTGCTGTGGAAGGTTGTGTCGTTGCCTTTGTAGTCGTAGAAACTTGCAAGTAAAAAAATATATGCGCTTTATTATCATAAGAAATTTTTTTCATTCCATAAAGCTATTCAATTAAAAAGCCACACTGAAGAACAAACTATATTGAGGAGCTTTTAAGTCTCCTGAGAAGTTTCATATGACATTGAAATTCTTTACTATAGCATTTTTATGGATTAAATAATATAATGATTAACAAAAATGTGTTCAATACATAAAAACGTATTTATCGTAATTTAAAAAATGGAAATAGTTATCCCCTCTCCTTGAAAAAAGTTTCAAACATGGTTTTTATTATAATATCAAAATAATTTACTTAAACGAATATCAAATTCCCCAAAATTAACTGAAGTTCAAATAAATACTCTACCGGCGTGGCAAGAACATGGGTCTCCTTGATGGAATACAGAAACTGTTGTAGTATGAAAAATAAAAAAAAAACATGAATGATTATTCCAAAAGCAATAACAAATTTTGCGAAATGTCTGGATTGAAAATAATAATAATGCCTTCTGCTTAAGCACAAAAAGCTCTTAAATTCTAAAACAATTAAAATTAACAAAATGAAATCTCATTTATATATTTATTGTTTATTGACAAGTCGATCAACAAGTGTAATATTTAATTTGTGCAAGGTATTTAAAAATATTTATTATTTATCATTAACTGTTTGATCAAGATATCTAAGAAGCCAAATGAAATAAATTTGCTGACTGATTTGATGGAATGATACCTTTTTTAAAAATCCATCCCTCAGGCAAATCAAATTTTGCTCTCTTCAAACCAATAAGCAGTTGAGATTACAAATATATGCAGAAGTTTCAACATTTTGAATTAGATTGAATGATGCCCTTTTTAGGTCACCTGAGTAAACTCAGGTGACCTATTGCTATCTGTTTTCGTCCGTCGTCGTGTGTCGTGCGTCGTCCGTCGTGCGTTAACATTTGAACATTTTCAGCTTCTTCTCTGCAACCACTGAACCAATTTCAACCAAATTTGGCATCTATGGGTGAAGGGGAACAAAAATTGTGAATTTCATGATCCCTGCCCCCCTGGGGCCTGAGGGGTGGGGCCAAAACCACTAAAATTAATGCAATCTTTAAAAATCTTCTTCTTTACTCCTGGACATCAAGCAGTCAAACTGTTTGCATGATTGTAATCAGCAATGAGTCCTCTACCAAAATTGTGAAATTCATGGCCCTGGGGTCAGGGGTTCTAGTGCTAGGGCGGGGCTAAATAAGTAGGTAGTGAAAATGCATTATTTCTTTGAAAATCTTCTTCTCTGCTCCTGGGTATTAAATAAACCAACTAAGTACATAGTTATGATGAGCAAGAGTGCCTCTACCAAAATTGTGAATTTTATTGCCCCAGGGTCAGGGGATCTGGTGTTAGGGCGGGGCTCTATTGATTATATATAGTGAAAATACATGATTTCTTTGAAAATCTTCTTCTCTGCTCCTAGGTATTAAATAAACTAACTAAGTGCATAGTTATGATGAGCAAGAGTGCTTTTACCAAAATTGTTAATTTTATGGTACCAGGGTCAGGGTTTCTGGTGTTAGGGCGGGGCTCTATTGATTATATAGTGAAAATACATGAATTCTTTGACAATCTTCTTCTCTGCTCCTGGGTATTAAATAAACTAAGTACATAGTTATGATGAGCAAGAGTGCCTCTACCAAAATTGTGAATTTTATGGCCCCAGGGTCAGGGGTTCTTGTTTTAGGGTGGGGCTCTAATGATTATATAGTGAAATGCATGAATTCTTTAAACATCTTATCCTTTGCTCCTGGTTAATATACTAATGATCTAATAACATATTAAAGGCCAGGGTTTATTTTATTTTCAGTATAACAAATCCTCCGCTCAAGGTTTTGAATTTTCAGAAAAAATATAAAAAGAATTCTTTCCGATGTCAAATTTGAGGCGAGATCGAGATTTCAAATTTACGAACTCGCACTTCCGGTTTTAAGATGAAACGGCGGGTAAATAAAGCTAGATCTGAGAAGATAGCTTGGTTTAGTGTAAAATTCATCGATACGAGTGCCATTCAAAACGTTTCACCCGTTCAAAGGACAAATAAAATGCTGACCACTTTGCTGCACAATGAAATGCTGGTGAGATAATTATGTATTCGTTTCAAAAGTATCTGTCTGTAAATTATTTTCCTCCCCCAGGTTTTAAACTGCTCGTGGTAGCTATTGCATATTGCCAGCGACATTGTTTAGGTCTCTGTTATAGCTTACAGTCTAAGCATCATTCTTCAGAAAAGGGTTGCTTATGCATCAGATGTAATGAATAAAACTATGGGAGAAGTTAAGTCCATTTGAGGAAGAAATAAACAATAACCTGAAGAAATATAAAAAAAATTCAACTATTAAAAGGCAAGAATATACAAATATATACAGGCATGTAGTATCATTTGTATCAGCCAGAAAAATTATTTTACACTTAATTGAAAAAATGTTCACCCTACTCCCCAATACTCCGTCTGTTTTATGATAGGAATTATAATTTTAGGCATCAAGTAAATTTTAGAACAATGTCTACACATTCACCTAACACATATTAAAAAAATAAAGATATATTGAAAGACTTTTAAAGAATTGATTTTTAAAAATATATTTTGACCAACATCACAAAATTTATAAAACTGGCCCAAACTGGCAGATGATTAAATAAGCAATTAAATGTTCTACTTTCCTATTTGTAAGCATTTATTTATGTGTCCAGTGGTAAGGAGCCTATTAGAATAGCATAAAAAAAGAATGTACAAATATTAATAATTGATTTATCAAAATTTTTTTTAGATTTCCTTCTCCATCGGGACTTTTTTATTCCCATGTTCATAACTAAACCTAAACATAAAAAAATGCTGGCCTTATAATGAAGAAAGGGGCCTCTTTCAAAATAGATAATTTCAGGGCCGCTGGGTCAGGGGTACCAGGGGGTACTTTGACTAAAAATAAATTAATGCTTTGAAATCTGCCCTTTGATAAGCAATGGTGCCTCCTTCAAAATTTGTGAATTTCATGGCTTTTGGATTAAAACACGACCAAATACAATCGCTGGAAAGTTGTTACATGATACTCAAGTGACCTATAAGGCCCGTGGGCTTCTTGTTATTTAATTTCATCACTAAAAAAATCAAATTTGCCCTAAGCAAACAAATAAGCAGTTTACAAATACAGATGTTTCGACATTTTCCCCCAAAAGGAGAAAAAAAAATTAAATGATTTTAACAGTACAATCGATTGCAAATAAAAAGCAACCCAAACCACCTAATTTGATAATAATGTAGAAGTAGAAACCGTCCAGACAATTTGTAACAACTGGAGAGATATCACTTTATTCTCTATACCAAGCAAGAACTAGATAATTATGAAAAGAATTTAGAACACAACGATGGACAACAAGTAAAGAAAAGAACTTGCAGGCTTCAGAAAAAGAAAGAGCTGCTGTTATCAAATGTTTTAATAAAAAAACGTAATAGAACAATGCACAGAATTGCAAAGACAACCCATCATAAACTTCAATGACTTTGAGAAAACTTTTGATATCACTCACATATACAGTGAATGGAAGATCCTAAGGCACTATGGTATGCTATCTAAGTTAGTTGACCTAATGAGAGCATTCTATTCAGAATTTGAATGATCTAGTTATAGCTTCTCAAACACAAGCTTTCTTTTGAAATCAGGAGTAAGACAAGGATGGTTGATGCTAGTCATACTATTTATCACAGCAGTAGACTGGGTAATAAATTAACGCACGGTGAAGATAGCATAGGGAAGATACTACAGGTGAAGACTTTTCAGTAATCTAGCAGATTTCGATTATGCAGATGACCTGGCTTTACTATATCATCTGGAAACACTTAAGCAACGAAAAAAATCTAATTTACAAATAAATGCCAGCAAAATCAATTTGAACATCAACAAAAAGAAAATTTAATTTAAGTTCTTATATACAAAAAGGCCAACGAACATACAACTATTAGAACATTTATAAGAACACATCATATTTCACATATCTAGGAAGTGTGGTGACATCAGGTAACGGTGCTGAGAGTGATATAATAGCAAGATTAAGTAGAGCAGGAAAAAAAGTCAACCAAAAACAACATGGGGGCGAAAAGTACAAAAGAAATGGGGGAAATAAATCATATCTGGGGAGAAGTTGAGAGGACTTCCAAAAACAGAGAGGAAAGGGAATCCCTAGCCCTTGCACTATTTGCCATTGGGTGCAACAAGGACTAGATAGGTAGGTAGGGAGGTACAATGTAGAAACATCCTGTGGAATTCCTGCTCAAAATTAAAGAATGTGGTATGTGAAGGCTCTAGTGATTGCTTTGAAAAGTAGTCCAGCGATCCCATCAAGTACTAGTAAGCCCTTCTAATTCAGCATTTTGAAAACAAAGCCAATGCCTTTCTGCACTTTTCATTCAAAGCATGTACTATACAATTAGTGCTGTTCAATATCAGTATGAAAGTTTACCCATAAAAATAGTTTCAAATATCAAAGTGTCACTTCTAACATCAGAACTAATAATTATGCAATGGATCATTAGAATTTTACCATACAAATGGCTTATCAAGTTCTCCAAACAACGTTCTCCCCGATCGTTATGTTGTAAAATATTATTCAGTTCCCGCCATACTGAAATAAATAAGTTAGAAGAATTGGTCAGATTTCGTATATATGATCGATATTGTATGCAATGCATAAAAAGTTGCAATTTATATATGATAGGTAGATCTTCAAAGATACGTGAAACTTTATATTCTATACTGATGTACTAGTATTAAGTTATCAAGAATAAAGCAAAACGACATGAACATTAACACAAAAAGTTTGGAAACATACAGAGAAGCAAAACACTTAGATTATTTTCAAATTTGAAAGCCTCTGATTAATATAAGCTTTGTATAACAGAGCTTCAAAAATTTAAATCAATAAATTTCAAAAACAATACACCCATGAAAAATTTCATTAATTCCATTGAAATTTAAATTTACCGCTTGTATGAGAGTGGCAGATCTGAGCAGTCGGTCTAACAGCCTGTTGGTAGTCCAGTAGGTGTGCCAAAGCACCTAAAAATACCCCATATCAGTCAACACAATGCAAATATTCATACTACTCATACACAACAAACAAGGAATAAGCTTATCTCGATTATGAAGTAATTGTTAACAATCAGTTTAAGGTTCATAAACCCTGTGCTTACCCGTATAAAATGTTGCTTGAATCTTAATGATTTTCCAAAAGAAATGTCTTTTACAAGAGAAATACGAACAATTATAGCAAAGCTTGCGGGACAAAATTGGACAAAAAGACTTCAACTTGGCAAATCTATTCAGAAATAATAGACATTTAAATCATTAGGAGTAATCTCTCTTATCAGAGTATCGATGAAGGCTGATTTGTGAATTTTAGAGTAATAGTGTTCGTATTATGTAAGTAGACCGATGTAAATGATATTTTTTTTTCAAAATTTTGTATACTAGTATTAAAAAAAATACAAATTTTAAAGTCTTGAAATAGTGATTTATTGATTGAATGCATATTCTTTAACGTCCCTCTCGAGAATTTTTCACTCATGTGGAGATGCCACCACATGCCGGTGGAGAGTTCCAAATTATGTCCTATGCACGGCACTTAGGGCAGCGAGGGATCTTTTTCGTGTCAGCACCTACTGCGAAACGGGACCTCGGTTAATACGGTCTCATCCGAAGGAACAGTCTCCATGTCCCGCAATGGGATTCGAACCCGCGATGTAAGGATAAACTCTTCACCTCTTTACCTCGCGACTCTAGAGTAGACACTCTAACCACTGCACCACGCGGTCGACTTTTGAAATAGTGATTGTTTCCATTTTCAAATTCAGGTAATAGAGATGTTGTAATACATGTACCTCTATATGGAGAGCTATGTTGATATCTCACACAGTCCATAGTTGTGTAATCTGAAATCAAAGAAATTAAAATATAAGTAGTGAAATGATGAATATTAGTTTAAACTGACGAGCATTGATCTCTATCTGTTTAGTTTTAGTCTGTGTTTTGTTTATTTTCCGTTATAAATTATTGCTTGTTACCTTCTGACTCATGATAAAAATAAGTGGTTCATTGGGTCGGTAGGATGGAGGAAACACTTTTTTAAAAATTAAAAAAACGAACATGATGTTAAAATATTTATTAAGGCTATGAGAAAACTCAGAAATAAATAGAAAAAATAATTGTTTTCTGGAGGTTGAAAAAACTATTGAGTTGAGTCATTTAAAGTCAGTCTAGAGAGGCAAACTATTTTTGTTAAAAATCGCCTCGGTAATTTGCCTTTATTGTTACAATACAGTCTGATTTTGCTTTTTGACATTACCATTCTAGAGCTAATTTTAGGGCTGTATTATTATAGACTTTGCCTTATTAACGTACATATACATAATCTTACCTGTAAAACCCTCATAATGTAAATTAAATGCTTTAGTACAAGAGCACTTCTCATCCGTACCATTTGGAAAAAGAGCTGTAAGAAGAAAATGTAACAAGAACCCCAGGGGCCACATCTCTCACCTGAGCATTTTGGATAGGAAAAGCAGAAATCAGTACAGTATTGAAAAGTGTCAATATAAAAGAAGCCCGGGGGTTTGATTTGAGGACATTTGAATCTATACTTCCTAAGGATGTTTACGAATTAATATGACACTTATAATGGCTTTGCTACTCTTAAGATGGAAATTTCTATTGATATATCCTTTATATTTCCTTGTATAACTATATATATGGCCCCTCTTATGATCCCTCTATTAACCTGAAGGTTCATGATGTGAACAATATCTAAGGATGCTTTAATATGATTATCATCATACTTTTGTTCTTGAAAAGATTTTTCCTATGTATTATGAAAAACTTGAATCTATACTACCTGAGGATGCTTCCATATAAAAATGTCGAATCATGTCTTTGTTGTTCTTAAGAAGAAGATTTCTAAAGTGTTTTTCCTCGATGTAAAACTTTGATCACCTGTTGTGGCCTCACCCTATCCTCACTAGTCCTGATTTAAATAAACTTGAATGTATACACATTCCGAGAATGCCTCCTTGTTAATACACGTATGACCAATCACAGCTTTGTTGTTCTAGAGAATAAGATTTTTAAAGATTTTTCCTGATGAGTAGTAATTTTAGGCTCAAAAGTAATGAAGTGATTTATTATTAAATGTCCAGAGTTACAGGCATTTGGATGCATTGCCCAGACTAGTCAAGCTGTGTTAGGGTAATTAAAAGTAGAGCAGTGTCTAGTGTGGTCAAGAAAAATGAGTCTTTAATGAGTGGAGCAATGGGAGCTATTGTTCGTAGAATCGGGAGCCATGTATTGAGTTAAGGTCAAGCTAGGTTATGACAGTTTGATAAGGATTTGATAAAGATATATGTAGAGTTGGAGTTAGTTAATTAATAGGATGGAGCTAATGTTTTAGATAATCATCTATTGGAGCTAAGATTAGTATATAATAAGTGTGACATTTTTAGAAGGGGAGAGGGCTTTGCTAGGATTTAGACAGTACATATGCTAGCATAAATGTAACATCTTTCGTTTGTATTGTGCCTCCTCATTGTATATATGTAAATAAATTAGTACACTGTTTACTGACTTTTTATTGGATTTAGCATTACAAGGATTTATCAACCAAGGATATCTTAATTACAATTGGATATATACCCACTGGAATTAAAAAGTTATAATTGCTCGGTCACCTCCGTGACATATTTTTGGTGTCAGAAGTGGGATTCCAGCATTCACTTGAACTGGAAGTATATTAGAACCTGTGTCTTTTTAGCTCACCTGAGCCGAAGGCTCAAGTGAGCTTTTCTGATCACATTGTGTCCGTCGTCCGTCCGTCCGTCTGTCCGTCCGTCTGTCCGTCCGTAAACTTTTCACATTTTCGACTTCTTCTCAAGAACCACTGGGCCAATTTTGACCAAACTTGGTACAAAGCATGCTTGGGTTAAGGGGAATTTAAATTGTTAAAATGAAGGGCCAAATCCCTTCACAAGGGGAGATAATCAAGAAAAGACAAAAATAGGGTGGGGTCACTAAAAAATCTTCTTCTCAAGAACCACTGGGCCAGAAAAGCTGAAACTTATGTGGAAGCATCCTGGGGTAGTGTAGATTCTAAATTGTTCAAATCATGACCCCTGGGGATTGGGTGGGGCCACAATGGGGAATCAAAGTTTTACATAGAAATATATAGGAAAAATCTTTAAAAATCTTCTTCTCAAGAATCAGTGGGCCAGAAAAGCTGAAACTTATGTGGAAGCATCCTGGGGTAGTGTAGATTTCTAAATTGTTCAAATCATGACCCCCGGGGATTGGGCGGGGCCACAATGGGGAATCAAAGTTTTACATAGAAATATATAGGAAAAATCTTTGAAAATCTTCTTCTTAATAACCACTGGGCCAGAAAAACTGAAACTTATGTGAAAGTATCCTTGGGTAGTGTAGATTCTAAATTGTTCAAATCATGACCCCCGGGGATTGGGCGGGGCCACAATGGGGAATCAAAGTTTTACATAGAAATTTATAGGAAAAATCTTTAAAAATCTTCTTCTCAAGAACCACTGGGCCAGAAAAACTGAAACTTATGTGAAAGCATTCTTGGGTAGTGTAGATTCTAAATTGTTCAAATCATGACCCCAGGGGATTAGGCGGGGCCACAATGGGGAATCAAAGTTTTATATAGAAATATATAGGAAAAATCTTTAAAGAACCACTGGGCCAGAAAAGCTGAAACTTATGTGGAAGCATCCTGGGGTAGTGTAGATTTCAAATTGTCTAAATTATGATCAGTGGGGTAGGGTGGGGTCACAATATGTATTACAAGGGGGAAATCTAGTAAAGAACAGAATGGTCAAAGCTTCTCAGGTGAGCGATGTGGCCCATGGGCCTCTTGTTCAAAATTGGATTATTGTGTTTGTGCTTGAAAGAATTTAATATTCATTGGATTAATTTGTGAACATTCATTGGATTAATTTGTGAATTCTGTTAAAAATGGGAAGAAAAGGAAGACAAAGTAGTGTATCTCCGATTTCGTCACCTAGGATGTTCACCAGTCAGCGAGAAGCTACCGATAATAGAACAGAGTCAAAATCTCATGTTACACCATCCAAATTCTATGGAGATGTAGGAGATGATTTCGAGAGTTGGATCAAAACATTTGAAAGGATAAGTCGTGCTAACAAATGGAGAACTGAGAGGAAAATTGAAATGCTACCTGCATATTTGAGAGGCCGTGCAGCTGATTTTTATGAAGATTTAGATCAAGATGTCCAAGAGGATTTTGATAAGTTACTTGATCGCATGAAGGAGAGATTTTGTCCAAAAGAGTTGCAGAGAATGTATTACACAGAATTATTTCAAAGAAAACAGCTAGCTCGAGAAAATGTTGAAGATTATGGAAGTGCTATTTTGAAGTTGGCTAGACGTGCACATGGAGGAGTTTCTCTAGATGAACATGACAGGCTTGTCATGGAGCATTTCTTGCAAGGTTTACGTCCTGAGCTACGTCGTTATGTCATGATGGCAGATCCTCAAAGTTTTGAACAGGCTTTTAGAATTGCAAAAAGAGAAGAATGTAACGAGCAACTAATAATGAGTAGCCAACCAGAACCTGCTAAAGTCAACGTAGTTGCAAACGAAATGAAAGTTATTATGGATTCTTTTGAGAAGATGACAGGGAAGTTGGATAATATTGCAGGAAAGTTAGATGGTCTTAATTTTGCATCAATGAAACGTGTGGGACCTACTCGCCATGTTCCACCTCAAGGCAGTTATGAGTCAAGAAATCGTCAGATAAGACGTTGTTATAATTGTGGACGAAATAATCACCTTGCCAGAGAATATCGATTTTCAACAAGCACCCCAAGAAAATTTGTAAGGATTCCGCAGCGTACAGGTTTAAACTAAAACAGACCTCCTTAGGAGAGGGTAAGGCGGTCATCAGTGAAAAAGAAAATGCCTCTGACAAAAGGATTTTATGTAAAAACAGTGATGAAACAAAATGTGAAAAAAGAAAATGTGAAAATATTGTGAAAGTACCTTCTTTAGTTAAAGGTGATTACCAGGGAATACAAATAAAAGGGAAAATTTTTGGAATTGATGCTGTTCTAATGTTGGATACAGGAGCCGTTGTTTCTTTGATCAGTGACAGATTTATTGGCCCAGAAATGAGAAATAAATTGACTTCGACAGACAGACGTATAGTATCAGCAACTGGTCAAGCTATTGATGTGATAGGCATTGTTGAGTGTGAAATTGAAGTTAACTGTGAATTTTTCAAACATAATGTCTACGTTGCAAGAAACCTTTGTTATGATGTGATTATTGGAACAGATATTTTGAAAAGTGTTGGTGCAGTTCTTGACATGGAGGATGGCTCAGTATATTGGAATGGAAATTATGTCAAGTTTTTGAGGGAAAACCGTAATGTTAGATGTTCTGTTCATTTGGCTGAAACAATTGAAATTCCTGAAAGATCCCAAGTAGTGTGTAATGCAAGAGTCAGTCCAGAATTTTATGGAAAAATTGGAATTGTGGAGCCTAAGAGCGATTTTATGGAGAAGTATAGTGTTATGCCAGCAAGAGTATTAAGCAGAGCGTGTGAATTGATGGCAGTTACAGTTGTAAATTCATCAAGTCAACCTGTGATTCTACATGAAAAAGTGAATATTGGAAGTTTTTGTGAAGTGTGTGAAATTCACGACAATGATGCAGTCAATGAAATACCAGAGAAAGAAAAGGAGAGAAGAGACATTTTGAAGGATCTAAATATAGATGTAGAAAAAATGTCCGAAGAACAGAAAAAGGAAGTCAGAAAATTATTTAGCGAATATCTTGATGTTTTCGCAAAGGATGATCATGATTTAGGAGAAACAAGTTTAGTCAATCATCAAATTGACACGGGAGATGCTCACCCTATAAAACAGCGACCTTATCCAATACCATTTGCACAGAAAGAAGAAGTAAGGAAACAGATTAAGAGTATGCTAGAAAAAGAAGTTATAAGACCTTCAAGTAGTCCATGAGGATCACCTGTAGTGTTGGTGAAGAAGTCCGATGGAAGTTATAGGTTTTGCATAGATTATAGAAGAGTGAATGCAGTCACTAGGAAGGATGTGTATCCCTTGCCTAGAATAGATGAGATGTTAGAAGTTTTTCAGAAAGCGAAGTATTTTTCTGTCATGGATGTATTAACAGGTTATTGGAATGTACCTGTATGTGAAGAGGATAAAGAGAAAACTGCATTTGTAACGTCGGAAGGATTATATGAGTTTAATTGTCTCCCGTTTGGATTGTGCAATGGTCCTAGTACATTTCAGAGGTTAATGGATTTGGTTTTATCAGGAATACAGTGGAAAATGGCGTTGGCATATATTGATGATATCATAGTTTTCTCAAATACATTTGAAGAGCATATTGAAAGATTGGAGGAAGTATTCAGGAGATTAAAGGGAGCAAATTTAAGATTGA